CTAACAAATTAAGGCCACAAAGACTGAACTAAAGCTCTGAAAATAACATAATTTCAGCATGCTAAACACAACCACATAGCTCAGAAAATAAGGCAAAAGCACGAGGCGAAAACGACACATTATGCTCCTCTTTTCTCTCAAGACCTTAACAAAAAATTTTAAGCCATACTAGCTGAACTTAAAACTTGTTAAAATAACATGCTAAACTCAACCAAACTGCTCAGCAAAAACCGATGCAACACACGGCTCAAAAAAACACATCAAGCAACTCAATATGCACTTCATTTTCTTTCTTTTTTCTCATGCATCAAACCCACCCGTATTAAGGCCAAACACAATGATTTGAAAGCTCTGAACATAACATAATGCCAGCATGAGAACGCATATATTCAAGTTCAGCAATTTAAGCATAAAGCAGGGCTCAAAAATAACTCACAAGCAACTCACTTTCTCTTCAAATTTTAACCAAGTCTAGCATACCCCTATTAAACTTTTAACACTGATTCTTAAGCTCACACTCGGCTATAATAAGGGGTTGAAGTGCACAGCCAAACTACCTTTCTCGGGAATAAAATGGGTGCTGAGATTGAGAGCCGATTGGCTACTGAAATCCGCTGAGAGATGGAAGAGTTGGCCGAGGAAAAAGGGGAAGACGGTTGAGAATCGAACGTGGTGCTGCTTGGGCCGAGAAAAAGGTTGCGGGAGTGGGTTTCTACTTGGGCCTAGTTCTTTAGGCCATAAATGGGGAGAGAATTAAGCTATTAGGCTTGGGCTGGTTCTTGGGCCTTACTAGGCTAGGGTGTGGGCCGAGGTTACTTAAGCAAGAAAAAGAAATTTAAACACTTTAGACCAAAAAGAAAAAAAAAATGATTTGGCTACTTAGGGAAATAAATTGAACAAATAGCACACTTAGGAAAATTTCAATTAAAAACACTGAGCACATAAAGCATAAAAAGAACATAGCTACAACAAGAACACAAAGGAAGAATTAAGAAGATGAGGACATCCACTTAAATCTTTATTGTTTTTTTATTAGTCAAATTAATTTGGAAAATTAAATAGGCGAGGACATTTACTTAATTTTCATTTTGATTAAAGGATTTGAATTTAAAACCGAGACTAGAATGCTTAGTTGCGCTATGAAATAAAATGCAAGTGATATGCTTTATTAAAATAAACGGGGTGTTACAAGAGAGGTACAATTTATATACAAGTTAATTGATATTAGATCTGGTACGTCTATTAAATATCCAGATTAATAGCTTAAATTTATTTGACTATTAAATAAAGTGCTAGCCCTATTGCTCGTATTTGCATAGCTTAATTTAGTTCAAATCAACCCAATCAAGCGAATAACATGTTTAGCTGGTGAGATTTTCACCAGAGACCCGCCAAGCACCTGTTGCACACTCGCCTAGCATGAGCCCGGGCAAAATTTCCGCCCGGGTAAATTGAGTCCATTTCCACTTGGCGAAATTTTCACCAGAATCCTTAGATGGGCGATTGTAGTTTAGTAATTGTGCATTTTTCTAGTGTGTGTTTGAGGTGTGGGTATAAATACATTTACTCCTTTGTATTTTGGGAACCAAGCTTTCATTTGTTTAGTTTCCTCTCTCTCTCTCTCTCTCTCTCTCTCTCTCTCTCTCTCACTCTCTCTTATTTTTCTCTCTAGAATTAGGCTTGTGGAGGTACAAGCTTGTGTTTTCCGGTGATGCTTTTTCTTATTAAAGTTCCGATCTTTGTGCGTTTATTTCACTTGGGAGTGCATTAGAGAAGTAAGTAGCTAGTTTAGGACTTACTATCTCGATTATTGCTCTATTTTTGCTTACTACGTGGTTAGAGAAAAAAGTAGTTTCTTGGCCAGAATGTATGTGTTGAGATCGGTTCTAGTTAGAGTTTCTATCTTTTGTCTTGTTAGTTTCTATCTTTTGTCTTGTTTTGCTTGGCTAGGGTATTTAGGTTGTTAAAGTTTGAATCTTTCAAGGTAAAAGTCAAGACTTTGATTAAAGGTTGATTATTTCGCAATTGATCGTTCAACAATAGCGCCTATTTGCATTAGTCATGGCTCGTTTCTCTTTGTCTATTTGTTTTTGCAGGTATTAACACTCCGTAGCAAGTAAAGTCTAGAACTTTCTTTAAAGCTCATCTTTAGTTAATCGTCTTTAATTGTTCAGTTAATTTTAGCTTCTATCAATCCCAATCAATCGATTAGAATGTCTAGAACTTTGTTTTCTGTTTTTGTGCCTTTCGACAACTAGTTCGTAATCAAAGCTACGAATCACCTTCCTTTGAGAAGATGACCCGAGGGTGATCTTTTGATCGTACTCGGCTAAAAATCAACGTAACAAGTTCTGAATTATGTGGCTTTGATTTGGATATGCGATTCGTAAATATGCAAACGTATTATGCATAATCATCAATTATATGACGTTATAGATTTGGATATGCGAATTGTAAAATATGCCAAAAAAATGTCGCATAATCGATAAATATGCAACATTCGATTTGGATATGTGATAACTAAGTATGCGAAATTTTCTCGCATATGGTAAAATATGCGGTAGATTTGGATATGCGATTACAAAATATTCAAAAGTGTTTTGCATAATTAATAACTATATGCTTTCGATTTGGATATGCGTTTGTATATATGTGACAAAAATCTCGCATAATTTTTAATTATCCGATTCATTTGGATATTAGATTATAATATTGCATATCATTTCGTGATTTCTTGGATGAAAAATAAGTTTTTTTAAGAAAGAGTATGTATATAATGGGGTGTAAAGCTGTCCACCCTAAGTTTTTATCATTACATTGTCCATGTGTTGTCTTCAGTCTATACTACTTTTCATTGATACGAGAATTATTTCGACTTCTTTCATAATATTAGTTTGTTTTACTATTGTTCCATCGGATATCTTTTGCCACACATGTTTTTTTGTAACAAATTATTGTAGTTGAAAGTAAATGATAAACCGAGAAAGGATATATATATATATATATATAGGATGTGGTTCAAATGAGAACCAAGTCCTAGTGTGAGAACCGTGAGAACTGTTATTTTTAATTGTATGTAGTGCTATGATTGATTGTATTTTAATACTATTTTTAACCAGGATGTATTTTTATTAAAAATAGCAACACAATTTATGTTAGCATTTGTAAAAATCATAGCACCATGTAAGATTAAAAATAGCATCATATACAATTGAAAGTAGCATCAAATATGGTTCTCACGTTCTCACCTCAGGATTAGTTTTTATTTGAATTAACCCATATATATATATATATATATATATATATATATATATAAGTATATATGATTTAATGTGTTAGATAATCATTTTGGAAAAAAGCTACGGTAGATTGGTTAAAGTGAAATAATTTGATATAAAATGCTATTATAAATTGAGAAGTATAATAAGAAACCGATACATTAGAGTGTTACATGAGAATTACATGTAACGTCTTCAAAGTAATACTAGGTAGTATTACAGTATTAAAAAGTTATATTAGGTTGATGAAAATGATACAATTGATTAATGTAATGTTACCACAAATAATAAGTTGTTACAAAAAATTGATACATATTGCATTGAGGGTTACTATACATGTACCATCTAGAAAGTGATATTGATTAGTGTTACAATAGAGAAATTAATGTAACATATATTATTATAAGTGTTACTTAATTCTACAATATTGTTACATAAAATAATGGATAGTAAGAGCAACTGTAGCACTCATTAAAATGTTATCTATGATAGATAGTAACACATTATTTGCAAGATTAAGTAACACTTTATTAGAGTTACATAAAGTTGTTTATTTTGTAGTGAACAGATTGGGCAAAGCACAGATTATGATCATGTCCAACGGTTGTTATGGAAATTTTAATTAACTTTTCACTGTATAGTTATTATTTATTTGTTGAAGAAGAAGTTTAATGATACCATTACGCCTTTCTGGTTCAAGAAAACTCTTTTGATCGGTGTATATAGGAAGATCAGTGGAAGGAAGTTTACATCTTTTGTTTGATGATATCCTATTTGCTGCTAATGATTTGAAAATTTTATATGAGACTAATTCTCTCATTGAATTTCAAAATGAAAGATGAGATAGACGCATCTTATGTGATTGGAATTTAATATTCCATGATTGTGTGTACATTATGTTCATATTTTTAAAGCTACAGGACTACTTATTGATTGATTTCGGTGTGTAGTTATTATTTATTTGTTGAAGAGAAAGTCATGCAAGAGTACCTAGTGCAACAAGCTAATAAAGAATGAAGAAGAGAATCCATATGTTAATTGAGCTATAATTTTATTTTCAGAACATATATATTATTTCGATACATTTCAACTTTTTATTATTTTGAAGATTCCTAATCTTCAAGTTTATCGCATGTGCTCATCTTGCAAGCTCCACCAGCAGGAGACTCTGTTACATAAAGAGGGAAAAAAAAAAGCATCATATAATTAGATAAATCACTCCGCATCACAAATGTACACTAAAAAATGACTCACAATTTTCGGAATTAGGCAATTTTCTCCATTGAGACGGCTTTCTCCCATGGGAATTAGTCGGCGGTTTTGGTTTGGGGTTGGGTTTGGGTTTGGGGACTCTATTGTTGCCAGTGCTTGGGCTAGGACCAGGCCTTGTCGGTTTACGATCCATTATCACGAACTTCTTACGTACACTAAGCCTAAGTTGCTCTCCACTAATCGATGGATCCCTAGGAGAATATATTTCAAACAAGTTCACATAAATCGCAGAAACATTAGTTGACCCCTCAAAATAATATACTTTTTTACACTAGATTACTTATCAATTAATCACTTGTTTATGTGGCTCAAGATTAAAACAATCTAAAAAATAAGTAGGAGAGAGAGAGAAAGAGAGTTTACTTATCATTTTTTCCTTGGATCGCCAGCTGGTTGAAAATTATCAGTGCTAATACCAAGAGCACTGCCAAAAAGCTTTTTGGATGGTAAGCCATTTTTTTTTTCTATTTGGGGAAGATTAACTAACGTTAGGTGGTATCTTTTATTGCTTGTTTTGGTGAAAGTTGAAGAAGAATGAAGTGTTATTTATAGCGAAAAAGAGGATCAAAATATTGTCATTGATGTCGAGTGATAATAAGAGAGGCCGAATCACGAAAATGATAACAATATCACTTTTCTACATAATGAAAATGGTTTTGAATATTATTATTATTAATTCTTATCTTTTTTTTTTATGATATATAATAGTTTAATATATGATTTATATGTATTTTTGTTGGGGTAGGACAAAAAGCGCAGCGGACAAAAATACTCCTACAACAAATATGACAATCACTACTACTAACAAAAATAAGTCAACAGAAATAAATAAAAGACGAGAAAGAAAAAGAACACAAAATTTGATAACGGAGTTTGACAAATATTGCCTACATCTCCGGGCACCGCCAACCGCAAAGCCAAATTTACTAAACTCGCCAACAAAATACAACTAGGGTTAAATAAATCACAAATTAGGATTTCCTTAATTAATGATTTCTTTCTAAGAGATGAGAGAATAGAATAAGGTGCAATTGTAACCCAAAGGTAAGAGATCTATTTATACTAAAAAGATCCTACACATCTTTGGTTATCCGATGTGGGACATAAAATTAATCCATATCTAACAAATTGCACCCTTTATAAAATAGTTGTTAGTTCAGAGTTCTTATTTAGAATTAAGGAACATGAAAATTTAGCATATTCAAACATTATCAATAAATAATTTTATACAGGCTGAAAAATAAAGATAAATCATATATTAAACTATTATATATCATAAAATAAAATGAAGATAAAAAATAATATGAATATTTAAACCATTTTTATGCTAATCAATGTGTGCTTCCAATTATACAATTTATCAGTAATGTCCCGTACATTGCAGGAGCCACGTCCTACTTTAAACTAACTTAAGAATGAATACAGTTTTATCGTGTGCTTCATCCATATAAATTTATGGAGGGTACATCTCGTATATGAACATATAAACATCGTTTATTGTAGAGCATTTTACTTTTTTATTTTTTAAATATTTGCTCATAACATGGTAAATACTTCCAAAGTTTTAATAGCACAAATATAACAAAAGTCAAATCAAATATTAAAAGGATCCGACATATCAGGTAAAAAATAGAATATTCCTATAAGTTTCAATTGAGTAAAAGATCAAAGATTAAAAGAGCCCGACATACTAGGTAAATGGGATATTCCTATAAGTTATAATTGGGTAAAAGTTTTAGGGGTGAATTATTTATTTAAAAAAAAATAAAAAAGCAAGTGGACAAAAATAAAAATTAAAAAAAATGTGTGGAACAAAATCAAAAGCACGTATTACGAGAATACGTTTTTCTATTTTTTTAAAAAAAAAGTATTCTCGTAATACGTTTTATAATTATATTTGTAAAATAAAAAAATATTATTTTTGAAAAAAATCGAAGTTAAATAAAGAATAATAATTATAAAACGTATTTCGAAAATGCGTTTTATATTTCTATAATTTATTTTTTTTCTTTAAAAAATGAAAACTTATTAAAACGTATTTTAAAAATACGTTTTTTTAAAAATCCTAAATCAATTTTAAAACGTATTTTCGAAATTGCTATAATTTAATAATTTTTTAAAGAACCTATTAATAAAAAAATAAATATCTAAAAATAAATTATTAATATTGTTATATATATATATACAGAAATATTTGTAAACATACATATATTATATACAAAAATAAAATTACATACATATATCATCATGTGTACAATGAGCAAAATAAAAACATATGTATCATCACATGTGTATGTGTATAAGGAGAAACTAAAAAACATAACAAAATGAGACTCTAGAGAACTTGAACCCATGACCTCCCACCAAATTGAATAATAAGACTATCAAGGTAACCACTCCACCAAGAATATTTTGTTGAAAAGATGTCAACAAGTATAATACATATAGACGTAATTCAGTACAAAAATGCGTTTTCTAGTTTTTCCCATTGGTTCATGAAATTGGAGTTGAGAGCATTGTTGTGATAAAAAAAAATTCGTAAAAAGATTTTCCGTTTGGTAGATATAGAGGTTTAAAAATGTGAAAAACCTAGAATTTTGCTTCAAATCAAATTAACCTTAGAAAAAGGCGTTTTTTTTCTTTAATTTTTGGTCGGCCAAATTTAATTTCAATGCAACAATTAAACCATTAAAAGTTGTGTCACTTGGCCGAATGCGAGAATGCGAGAGTATTGATCCTCATTTGGCGGCACATTTTGCAAATACGATGGCCCTAATTAAGGCAGATTAGGACAGGGCACAATATTGATTTAATGAATGTTATTTTTTTTTATTTATTTTTTTATTTTCCCGTACAGTCGACGTTTGGTTGAGTTGTTTTTTTTTTTATTTATCGTTAATTCATTTTATTTTTATCCATTTCCAAATTCTATGCCACATTATAACTAAACAATTCCATAACAATCAATGTATATGTAGTTGGTCTAAAGTCAATAACAAACATAAGTTAAAATTAACTTATAAACACGACCGAATATCATAATATATCAAGCGCCCCCGTCCCATCTTATTCGACTGAGTGCAGCGCCGATCCCATGAAATATAAAGGAGCGTACAACTGTCTGTAACGTTGTCTACTGGGTTTTTCTCCTGAATCGCAGCCAAAATTACTGCCCGTTTTGCCTGAGCAGCAGTCATATCACGGACCATCTCTTCAGATGAAGCGCTAAGTCCGCTCATCTATCGATGACCCTTGGCATACACAGTCATTGTAGATCCTGCCTCCAATTTGACTTTTATCTTAAAAAGCCAGTTGGTCGCTTTAATTTTCGAACGTCTCACAACAGCCTTAGCTAGATCTTCTATACTGCCTCTGTAACGTTGACACCTCAAAATCCTCTGCTTTCCTTTTTTTATTGTGTTTTGAGATAATCAATTCGAAACCACATACAATTGCATTTTTTTTTTTTTTTTTAGTAGTAATAAATTCTAACTTCTAACATAAGATAATATAAGATGATAATTATAATGTATAAGGGTAATAAATTCTAAATTCTAATTTATAAGATAATAATTATAATGTATAACACCATAATTATTTCTAACTTCTAACATAGTAGTACTAAATATTACTTCATAAGATAATCAATTCTAATCTATAATACAATAATTTCTAACTTCTAACAAAATAGTACTAAATTCTAATTTATAAAACAATCAATTCTAATTCTATACCATAATAATTTCTAAGTTCTAACATAGTAGTACTAAATATTACTTCATAAGATAACCAATTCTAATCTATAATACAATAATTTCTAACTTCTAACGTAATAGTAATAATAAATTCTAATTTATAAGACAATCAATTCTAATCTATACCATAATAATTTCTAAGTTCTAACATAGTAGTACTAAATATTACTACATAAGATAACCAATTCTAATCTATAATACAATAATTTCTAACTTCTAACGTAATAGTAATAATAAATTCTATTTTATAAAACAATCAATTCTAACCTATACCATAATAATTTCTAAATTCTAACATAGTAGTACTAAATATTACTTCATAAGACAATCATTTCTAATTCTATACCATAATAATTTCTAACTTTCGAACATAATAATAATAAATTTTAATTTATAGGATAATCAGTTCTAATATATAACATAATAATTTATACTAATATAATTTTTTTCAAACTAGTATCATATTTAATTTATACTAATATAATTTATACTAATTATACTAATATAATTTTTTTATACTAATATTAATATTTATACTAATATAATTTAAATTAAAAAAATTCAAAAACAAAAAATTTGGAGCTCAGTCCGGCTGGTAAGTAGGTAGGAAGGTGGGACATTTTTTTTTAAAAAAAAAAAAGAGTAAAGGGAAAAACTGTCTTTGGTGGGCGGTAAGTAGTAATAGGGGGGGTATTTAGTAATTCAAATATTTTATTAAAATATTTACCCAATTGTAACTTATAGGAATATTCTATTTTGTATTTGATACGTCGGATCCTTTTAATATTTGATCTTTTACCTAATTAATATTTGATCTTTTACCCAATTATAACTTGTAGGAATATTCGATGTTATACCTGATATGTCGTGATTCTTTTATTCTTTGATTTGACTTTTGTTATACCCAATTATAACTTATAGGAATATTCTTTTTTATACCTGATATGTCGGGATCCTTTTAATCTTTGATTTGATTTTTGGTATATTTTGTCCAATTAAAACTTTGGTAGTATTTATTTTGTCATGAGCAAATATTTAAAAAATAAAAAACAAAAATATTCCACAATAAACCATGTTTCTATTTTCATATATGTTCATATATGTTTCGGACACAGATTCAAGCAACGGTTGACTCACATGTTTCTAGGTTAGTTCTTTCTTGCTGTTAGGTTAGTTGTCTGATGCTGTTAGGTTAGTTGTCTTTTGTTGCTAGGTTAGTTATTTGTAGCTTCTAGGTTAGTTGTGTTTTGTTGCTAGGTTAGTTGTCTTTTGTTGCTAGGCTAGTTCTTTCTTGCTGCTAGGTTAGTTGTCTGATGTTGCTAGCTTAGTTGTCTTGTGTTGCTAGATTATTTCTTTTTTGCTGCTAGGTTTTTTTTTTTTTTTTTTTTTTTTAGCAAACAACGCCCCGGAAGGGCGGGGGATTGGGCTGGATCCACAACCTGTACATAGATTAAGGCCCCAAAGTCGGGAGCCCAAAATATCAACGAGCAAGATACAAAAGTCTACAGAGTCTCACTAATGAAAATCACAAATAAGAGAAAAACAAAAAAGAAAAACCGAAAAACAAAAAGAAACAAAAACTACAATACCAAGTCGATCTTCGGGCTAACAGATGCCCGACAAATATGTCTATGCTAAAGAGGACAGAAATCCTAAGCTACCGAAAGCGGAAAGCAGGATATCCAAGCTGGTCCATCCGTACAAGAGTGCGAAGGCGGAGTGGAGCAGTGTCGGTCTGGAATGTATGTGTG